AATGTCTATTTGTTTGTGTTTCTCCCTTGTGATGGGACTTTGTAGGATGAACGTTGAGATTTATAAGGGCACGGGGTGACCAATAAGCTCTGAATTGGTCTGTAATAAGGTTGGGCTCTGAAAAGGGGTCGACATGTACAGTGAGGGAAAAAAGTATTTGATCCCCTGCTGATTTTGTACGTTTGCCCACTGACAAGGAAATGATCAGTCTATAATTTTAATGGTAGGTTTATTTGAACAGTGATAGACAGAATAACAACAAAAAAATCCGGAAAAACGCATGTCAAAAATGTTATAAATTGATTTGCATTTTAATGAGGGAAATAAGTATTTGACCCCCCTCTCAATCAGAGAGATTTCTGGCTCCCAGGTGTCTTTTATACAGGTAACGAGCTGAGATTAGGAGCACACTCTTAAAGGGAGTGCTCCTAATCTCAGCTTGTTACCTGTATAAAAGACACCTGTCCACAGAAGCAATCAATCATATTCCAAACTCTCCACCATGGCCAAGACCAAAGAGCTCTCCAAGGATGTCAAGGACAAGATTGTAGACCTACACAAGGTTGGAATGGGCTACGATATCATTGCCAAGCAGCTTGGTGAGAAGGTAACAACAGTTGGTGCGATTATTCGCAAATGAAAGAAACACAAAAGAACTGTCAATCTCCCTCGGCCTGGGGCTCCATGCAAGATCTCACCTCGTGGAGTTGCAATGATCATGAGAACGGTGAGGAATCAGCCCAGAACTACACGGGAGGATCTTGTCAATGATCTCAAGGCAGCTGGGACCATATACACCAAGAAAACAATTGGTAACACACTACGCCGTGAAGGACTGAAATCCTGCAGCGCCCACAAGGTCCCCCAGCTCAAGAAAGCACATACACATGCCCGTCTGAAGTTTGCCAATGAACATCTGAATGATTCAGAGGACAACTGGGTGAAAGTGTTGTGGTCAGATGAGACCAAAATGGAGCTTTTTGGCATCAACTCAACTCGCCGTGTTTGTAGGAGGAGGAATGCTGCCTATGACCCCAAGAACACCATCCCCACCGTCAAACATGGAGGTGGAAACATTATGCTTTGGGGGTGTTTTTCTGCTAAGGGGACAGGACAATTTCACCGCATCAAAGGGACGATGGATGGGGCCATGTACCGTCAAATCTTGGGTGAGAACCTCCTTCCCTCAGCCAGGGAATTGAAAATGGGTCGTTAATGGGTATTCCAGCATGACAATAACCCAAAACACACGGCCAAGGCAATAAAGGAGTGGCTCAAGAAGAAGCACATTAAGGTCCTGGAGTGGCCTAGCCAGTCTCCAGACCTTAATCCCATAGAAAATCTGTGGATGGAGCTGAAGGTTCGAGTTGCCAAACGTCAGCCTCGAAACCTTAATGACTTGGATAAGATCTGCCAAGAGGAGTGGGACAAAATCCCTCCTGAGATGTGTTCAAACCTGGTAGCCAACTACAAAAAACGTCTGACCTCTGTGATTGCCAACAAGGGTTTTGCCACCAAGTACTAAGTCATGTTTTGCAGAGGGGTCAAATACTTATTTCCCGCATTAAAATGCAAATCAATTTATAAAAAAATTTACATGCGTTTTTCTGGATTTTGTTGTTGTTATACCGTCTCTCACTGTTCAAATAAACCTACCATTAAAATTATAGACTGATCATTTCTTTGTTAGTGGGCAAACGTACAAAATCAGCAGGGGATCATACATTTTTTCCCTCTGTAAGTATTTGACCCCTCTGCAAATCATGACTTAGTACTTGGTGGCAAAACCCTTGTTGGCAATCACAGAGGTCTGACGTTTCTTGTAGTTGGGTGCCAGGTTTGCACACATCTCAGGAGGGATTTTGTCCCACTCCTCTTTGCAGATCTTCTCCAAGTCATTAAGGTTTCGAGGCTGACGTTTGGCAACTCGAACCTTCAGCTCCCTCCACAGATTTTCTATGGGATTAAGGTCTGGAGACTGGCTAGGCCGTTCCAGGACCTTAATGTGTTTCTTCTTGAGCCACTAATTTGTTGCCTTGGCCGTGTGTTTTGGGTCATTGTCATGCTGGAATACCCATCCACGACCCATTTTCAATGCCCTGGCTGAGGGAAGGAGGTTCTCACCCAAAATTTGACAGTACATGGCCCCGTCCATCGTCCTTTTGATGCGGTGAAGTTGTCCTGTCCCCTTAGCAGAAAAACACCCCCAAAGCATAATTTTTCCACCTCCATGTTTGACGGTGGGGATGGTGTTCTTGGGGTCATAGGCAGCATTCCTCCTCCTCCAAACACGGCGAGTTGAGTTGATGCCAAAGAGCTCCATTTTGGTCTCATCTGACCACAACACTTTCACCCAGTTGTCCTCTGAATCATTCAGATGTTCATTGGCAAACTTCAGACGGGCATGTTTATGTGCTTTCTTGAGCAGGGGCACCTTGCGGGCGCTGCAGGATTTCAGTCCTTCACGGCGTAGTTTGTTACCAATTGTTTTCTTGGTGACTATGGTCCCAGCTGCCTTGAGATCATTGACAAGATCCTCCCGTGTAGTTCTGGGCTGATTCCTCACCGTTCTCATAATCATTGCAACTCCACGAGGTGAGATCTTGCATGGAGCCCCAGGCCGAGGGAGACTGACAGTTCTTTTGTGTTTCTTCCATTTGCGAATAATTGCACCAACTGTTGTCACCTTCTCACCAAGCTGCTTGGCAATGGTATCGTAGCCCATTCCAGCCTTGTGTAGGTCTACAATCTTGTCCTTGACATCCTTGGAGAGCTCTTTGGTCTTGGCCATGGTGGAGAGTTTGGAATCTGATTGATTGCTTATGTGGACAGGTGTCTTTTATACAGGTAACAAGCTGAGATTAGGAGCACTCCCTTTAAGAGTGTGCTCCTAATCTCAGCTCGTTACCTGTATAAAAGACACCTGGGAGCCAGAAATCTTTCTGATTGAGAGGGGGTCAAATACTTATTTCCCTCATTAAAATGCAAATCAATTTATAACATTTTTGACATGGGTTTTTCTGGATTTTGTTGTTGTTGTTATTCTGTCTCTCACTGTTCAAATAAACCTACCATTACAATTTTAGACTGATCATTTCTTTGTCAGTGGGCAAACGTACAAAATCAGCAGGGGATCAAATACTTTTTCCCCTCACTGTATGTGAATACGAGACGCTGGGGTCCTTAATAAACAGCGTCACGAAACAGTTCTTAAAGAGACGCACGCGGCTGGGGGAGCCGCAGGTCGCCGGCCCCTGAATTGACCAAACGGGAATGGACGTGGTTAGTGGTACTATACAGGGCGCTTCAAAAAAATGTTAACACTTCAGAGAATTTGCAACAATACCACAAGAAATGTGCTGCTGCTGCCTCCGGGCTCTGGAGACCACCTGGAGAAGATTCCAGGCACGCGTTGAAAATGATGGCGAACACGTGGAGACTGACTTTTTTGAAGCTATTAGCATACAATTGTTATCATCAATCTTTGTTTTTTTTGGGTAAAGTCACGTAGAAATAAGAGACGGAACATCACATCTCTCTATATCCCCTGGTATATCTGTGTTAATTCCCCCTACTTAAGGTCTGCATATATATCTGCGGTTATGTGTTTCCTCTACCTGATGATGATTGCTTGTGTTGCAATCGAAACGTCGTATATTATGTAATTTTATTTTTCTTATTTCTACGTGACTTTACCGAAACAAACAAAGATTAATTCCTGCAGTCACGAAAGCATCAAATCTAATTGTTATCATGTTCCAGCGTATCATTTGTTATGTTACCATTAAAAACGATAGTCCCATATATAAGTGTTAACATTTTCTTGAAGCACCCTGTTTTTTTTAACACCATCGTGTTCACCCCTGCGTCGCCTATGTTTATCCAGGCACACATTGTACCCATACAATACGATCCGTATCCACTTTGCCCATCACCGATTTTTTCTAACCAGGTGAGAGGGTACATTACACTCTCTCTGTACAATCTGCGTTCATTTTCACTGTTGCTCCCCTTCTTTATATAAACCTCTTTACTCCCCTCTATCCATTCTTTCAATCGGCCTTTCTCAAAGATGTGAGTGTATTTACTTCAATCCAGAAAATGTGCGGATGTTTTTATTTTTGCCACTTGCACATTCAACGTTGTTATTCAGTTTTCCTAACGTAACCTTTTGAGAACTTCCTTGCCTTGCAGCTGCACTCTGTGTATGCATCCGAGGGTCTCTGTATTGTCAGCCGAGAGTGCCCGTAGTACTTGTACTAATCCTCACATTGTCATCAGTCCCCAGCCGGTGCATGATGCACTATGTACTATTACTTTGTTGTTTATATAACCAGGCTCTCACCACACCCCACTCAACTATGTTACTACTCACCACACGCCCACACCACTTACCTGTGTACCACAACAACAACAACCGCCATTCGCCACTAAGTGGCGGTGACATCACCACGACGCTTGTGCCAGGCTATGTGCACCCTCGCCACACTGCCTATCAACTATATACCACTTGTGTACCTCGCAATTGCACTATAACACCACTGTCACCATTTGCCACCACTTGCCACCACGTGCTACACCCCACTGTTTGTTGAAGCAATACCCCTTAATTTCATCAGGCGAGAATGCACGTGTTATCCACACACCGTTAATCTCTCCGTATTCAAATGAGGCTTATAGATCGATGCACGTGTCACGTTTAAATAAACACCTCTTGCGTGTGTGCCATCACGGTGAGGCATTTGTCCGTGGCGATTTGGCTGGGGATGGATGTGTGATTGGCAAGCTTGTCATTGGCCCATGTATCATGGAGTTGATGATTCCGTTGCCCCTACAGGAGTATTGTTCATTCATTTTCAAAGGGGGGGGGGGGGGGGGCACTCTGGCCGATAAGACACCGTCAGTGTGAGGTTTGCCACGTATTTGAAACCATTGGGGTATTGACAGCAACACGATGATGATGATGATGGGGGTTGTTTTCACCATTTGTGTGTTGTCAGGGGGCCGCACTAAAGGCCACCAGGGGCCGCCAGTGGCCCGTGGGCCTTGCAACGAAGAGCACTGCCCCACAGTGTTGTCTCGAGGTAGGGTTAGCATTGTTAATGTCTTGTCGACCAAAACGTGCCGTGTCCTGTCAGTTTTCGTACGGTGCAAAATAAGTTCTTCATACGTACAGTTGGACGTCCAGAATCCGGTCGCATCAGGAAGCCATTGTGTGCCGCAGCAGGTATCAAACACGCACACGTAAAACATTTTATAAAGGTTTGTAACGATTGAAAAAATGTTGTTCGCTAGTATTATCCCAATTGTGCTACTGGCATCGTGTCATGAGCCAAAGTGTCTATTTGGATCTCTCTCCCAGGGCAGTACAACTCACGTGTTGTAGAATGGCCCACGTAAACAGATATCACAGCTTCTTCTGAGACTCCTTGTGGTGAGCGCCGGTCCTCACAGCACAAGGAAAAACTATCCCACCAGCTGTTTAAAAATCTCAAAGCTGGAATTTAGCCAAATTTAAGTGCATGACCAGACATAATGTTAAGGGGGTTTTTCTGTGTGCAGTCTTTGGTAAAACAACTCAAATACATTTCAGAGCCCAGTTGAATCAAAGGGTGGCTGCCTAGATTTGTGCCCCGCATCTTAGCAGTGTCAGCTCAGTTCTCTAACCTCTGAGCCACCCGACTCCCTCGTGCAATGTAGTTGTTAAACACACACACACTGTGGTGAAGTGAAGGATGTTTGAAGTTTGACTTGCTTGGTTAGTCCGAGAATTAGGGGATGAAGTCTTAATGTAGGCGGAACCCCCTAAACAAACAGGTATTGTACACACTTAGACTGTGTGTTCTGGTCTTTTCTATACACGTTTGAAGCTGTCAGAAAAAAACATTTAAATTAATGGTCATAAGTGGTCCAGTGATTTCACCGTGGTAGCACGACTTTGTTGGTTTTAAAACATCACAGAAGTGACATCGCAAGATATTACATGGCTGTTACTCTTGAAATGTTTTTTTTTTCATTAACAGCGTTTTAAACTCACGTCGGATAGCCCAGGACACAGCCTAGACATTTGCGACCTTATACAAGAGGTTTTTTTTTTTGCGTGGCTTCTTTAAGGACTGTTATGAAATATGATTTTCGTTTTTTTCCGAATGTGTCAGCACATGTATGACGAATCGGCCTGATTGGGATATTGCGCAAGGCTTGAACATTATGTAAGTTATTCCGCAAAGGGGTCCGGAAATTTGAGAACCATTGCCTCCCTGGTGTCCACCTCCCTATGGTTGGTTACAAGCCAACAGAGGCAAGGAGGATAATCGAGCACGCGTACAGATCGACTGGGGAGGTGTTACTTGTCATTTTATTTTAATGCAACCAGTTTCAGAAGTTCACGTGTTAATACATTATTTGGTGTGTGCAGATTAATAATCTGTCATCACTTAAAAAGGGGGCATATCTATTGTAGGCTGTGTGTGTGTGTAACTGTGCCTGCCACCAGATAACTGTAGCTAACCCTCTCGCTCACATACAGTCTTGGGTGGTCACTAGTCAACACGAACATGTAATAGTTACTGAACATGCTGATTGAATGATGTGATCAGAGGGAGATTGGTTGACCTGAAGACCTTGCCCTGCAGTAGAGTTTGGCTTGGGGATTTGAATTTGCTTTGAGGGTTTCTGCTATATTCTAATTGCACAACATGTCCACACGATGATAAGCCACTTCGTTGAGCTATCATTTGTGGCCAAGTCGCTTCTGAAAAAGAGCTGTATAGCTCAGTGGGCCTTACCTGGTAAAAAAAAAGTTTAGTCTTTTTAAAATAAAGTGTTCTTATCCAAGTCCATTAACTTGTCTGAACAATCTATTATTTATATGATTTGTGTTTGTTTCCTAATCCATTTGTTCTTCCTAATTTTTAGTCACTCAGTGTGATGCCAAGCATACAGTTCTCTATGGTCCGTTTTTCATATATTTCAGCTTTTGTTCCATTTTTTTCAATATCCGTGTTTCTGATCCATATGTCACAGTGGGTAATATGCATTGATTGGAAAAAAATGTCTGCTTCAGGGACACTGGTACATTGCTTTTCTTTGTTAAATAAAGCTTCCCAAAAAGCACTGCATCCGGCCCACGTGCAAATCCTTATTTCATTTTTAAAAATCTCGATTAGGCGTAAAATATTTCAGCTTTCTTTAAGTTCTACGTCATTTTCTGTTGTTAATTGGTGTTGATTGTTCACAATATCAAATACTATTATGTCTACCTATTATAGACAATTTCAATCATGAATCCAGGCTTTCATAAACCAAGGCCGTAATAACAAAATATGTATTATTAGCATTTATAAAGGACCTACAAGAAGGGAGATTGCAAAACACATTTCGAAATTAAGAGAAGACGATATGCTTGCATGAAGGCTACCCGCAACAACAATAGAACAACCTTTCCTAAAACCGAATTTGCAAAATAAAGACAAACTGAAAAAGTATTAGCAAGCAATGATAAATTGGCTGAGGGCATAGTCATTGTAACAATTAAAATAAAATATTCGAACCTGACAATTGTTGTTCATAGGTTTGATTTATGGGGGATTTTTTATGTTTAAAATTAGTGTTTGGTAAAATAATACATTGTAACTTCCAAACAAAGAGCTGGCAGATATTTTAATAAGATTCATCCATTCGGCTGCCATAACGTCTGTCATTGCACAAGTGCAGAAATACGTTTGCATTTATATAATTAGCAGAATTTTCCAATATATTCTGACACGTCCTGTTCGCTCATACACGTGTATATTCATCGGTGGTTTCTTGGTTCAGTATAGGTTTCATAGTGGAATATATATATCAATAAATAGATAAGTGGATTATTTTCTGAATTAGTACATTCATTGTAAATTACTAGGTGGCTGGCAGAGTATAATTGTTTAATTGTCCAATTAAACATATTTGTTTTTCAAACTTAGCAAAACGAACGTTTGTTTAAACCATGTTCAAAGTTACTTGCAACAGCAAAATTGCTTCATAAATTGCCATAATTGGTGTACAAACTTGTGTAAGGCGTAACTGCCAAGTCTTAATTGTTTGTGCATGTTTTTTACATAGTAGTCCGTGTAAAACAACTCCCAATGTACATTCGGGCGTCGAAGCATTCATCCACAATTATAATTGAAAACTCTTTGTCAGTTCACTGCTGGATGAAGGCCTTCCCATGTCAGGCAAGCGGTTGTTTGACCATCCTTCATCATAGCGGTCAGTGCCGGTTGGTGAAGGAGGGGTGGGTCCCAGATCTGGTTCAGATAGCACTCGCTACTGAAGCTAGTCATGGCTGGGAATCAAACTCACATTTTCATGTTTTTTGAGCATCGCGCTAACCTCTGGGCGACAGCTCCGCACGTACTCTTTGGTTCTCTCGGTAAAGTCACGTAGTTAGAAATTAAATAAAACAAATCGCAACGTTTCGATCACAACACAAGCGGTCGTCATCAGGCACGGTTGAATAATTTACAATTATTTGTATGTATGTTGAACGTCTTTCACACTTCCGTAGCCAGCTGTGCTAATCGGAGGTGCGGAAAAGGTTATTAACTTAAATTTTAAAACAACTCATTACAATAACATAAACATTCATTACACTTTACCAACGCCAATAATTGTGGCTAAAAAAAAACACTTAAAAGTGGCTTACCCGGGCTGTTGAGTAATCGTGAGCTTTTGACCTCTACTTTAGATTAGCATTGCTCTAAAAAATGCCTCGTCAGCCTACGTCGGTGCTCAAACCTCCCCCAACGTCAGAACCGCCGGTCAGTCCCCCAGCTCTTAGCGGGCCCTTCACACCGCAGGGACTCTTGCCCTTTCCCGTGCCCCCAGCAGACTGCAGCTTGGGCCACCGCGTCGCAGATTCCCTGAAGGTCATCGAGGACGCGGTGCGGACGTACGGGCTGGCCCAGCTGTGCGTAGCCTTCAACGGCGGCAAGGACTGCACGGCCTTGCTGCACCTGGTCCACACTGTGACGCGCAGGTGCGCTGACGCCTGCGCTCGCTTTGTCCCCTCGTCTCGCTTGTCCCCACTGGGCTTCCTTACGCCCCTGCTCCTCCGGGGGGGGGGGGGGGGGGGGGTGAGGGTTCGATCTCGACCCCGACGCCTGCTGTATATTTGTGGTTTTCATGTCTCTCTCTCTCTCTCCCTCGTGCTCGTGTAGACTTTTAGATTATTTTGCTGCTATAAATGTCCACATGATAAGCCACTTCGTTGAGTTGTTATTTGTGGCTAAGCCGTTTCTGAAAGATAAGTTAAAAGCTCAGTGGGCTTTACCTGGTAAGAAAAACAGTTTAGTTTTATTTATCTATTTTCTCAGTGATTTGTTTACCTTTCCTATACTTTGCGCTCCTATCATGTTTTTGTATTATTTGTTGTAACATTCTGACCCACCCCTATTGGACATCTGTGGAAAAGAGCTTTATAGCTTATCGGATTCCTCCAGTTTAAATGCATATTCTGATTCTGGCTTCCTCACCTACCACCAGCCCCCACAGCCAATCGAATGGGGCATCCCACAGCCCTGCCCAACGCCTGTCGAGTTTATCTATCTCGTGTCATCATCGTCATCATTTATTATTTATACCGCACTTCCCATGTAGTGCATCTCGAGGCGCCAGAGCAAAGAGGCGTTTGAGATAATCACTCATGAAGGGAGTGATTGCGGACCAACTATTAATGTTCTAAAATCAATATCGACAATATATACAACAGGTGAGAATAAAAAAATTAAAATGAACAGCTTAACCGTGCCCGAGGCTATGCTGTTTTTTGCTTGTCCACTTTAATTGAGTTACCGTACCTTCTCGGAAAATAACGTCTTTAGTTTAGTCTTAAATTTATGAATTGTTGGTGCTTTCAGAATATTTCTGGGTAAGCTGTTCCACAACTTTGCTTCCAATTGAAGTAATCCTTAATTTCGTCCAATGTTCTTGTTAAAAAATAGCTGTCATCACCCTCGTAAGTGAGTGTTGATGCCCTTGACAGATGCTTTCCATCTTTTGTGATCTTTAGCATCTCTCATGGAGAGCCCCATCCCGCTGCTCACATTGTCCCACTGACCAATCTGTTTCCTACCTCTTATCCTGCTCTCTTTTTCCTTGCAGAATAATCTCTCATATCTCTCATATCTCCAGTTGTGACCCTCCTATAATGTCTTCTGTATGCCACCTTCATTTGCCTCAACCATTTTAGTAAAGCCATGCTTTGTAGCCATTCTCTTTCAGCACATCTCCATTCAAGTCATGGTTCATAAGGCTGCTAATACTTTAGCAATGTCACAGTCATTGACACGCGCTCAAGGCGGTTGTAAAATATTCCCTTTTGTCTCATTTGTATGACCAGCGCTGAAATTAGTGTTGTGTCACCGCATGGCAGCTCGCTGAGGTAGTACAGTTCCAGGTTAACACCAGAAGCAAGCCACAGAGCTCAAACCAAGCTGCTTGTTTTCAGCCGAACGACGTTGGGTTAACGAGGAAGCAGTAATGCGTTGTGCCATGACGTCGCTAATGGATAAACGTCCTAGTTTTGTCATCACATAAAATACGCTGGTCAATTATATCAAATAAAGGTTACAACTTGAACAAAGTCAGCCTGGCGAAAAACTGCGTAACCCATGGTAATGGCAAACCACGTTAAAAACGATTTATTTTCAAGGTTGTTTCCAATAAACAGTCCCCATCCGCAAACAGCAGCGTGGGTGGAGAAAGGGGCGACGGTCGAGTCCTGACCAGGCTGAGATCAAGGAGCCTCATGGCTCATTGAGCATGGAGGCATGGCCCCTTAATCCAGGTTCTTTGCTGGGCCAATCCTGAGACAGCAGAGACAAGTTCCCATCTCTTTCTACACCACTGGCGACAGTCTCGGTAAATACATTTGAAAACTTCTACTCAATTCTCTGTCACTGTTCATCCATAGATTTACTTCACTTCAGTTCTTTTCCCACTAATTGCCACGGAGTTCGGGTTAATCACTTTAATGTGTAGCAAGTCAAACCAATCGTGGTATTTGTGGGCATTTGTTTTGAAGCATGCCCATGATTGTTTTTTCCAAAATATTTGAATGGTATAAACGTTTGTGCTATGCACAATAAGGCCTTTATGTAACGAGAGCTCGGATGTTGTACTTTTTCAATTTGCCTAAAAAAAACAGTTTTCTTGGAATGTGTGATGATTGTTATCAGAAATTGTAAATCGTGTGCGGGTAAATGCCTTCTTTGTGAGAACCTTAACGTGCCTTCCGATGGATATTTTTGAGTGCGGCACTGCCCCAAGTACAAGCGCAATGTAGCTCACTTTGGGGTCTAGAAAGTTTAATCAAGCGAAACAGATGTAGCAACACCATAATGGTCACTTATGCTCCGCGGAGCAGTTTTTATTTTTTTTTAAAGATGTTTTGTGATTTGCACTCCCAAGATAGGTCAGGTCAACGTTTTCCTTTGTCTCACTTTCACTCTCAAATAGGTAGTTTGCAAAACAGTCTGGGCAGATTGAAATAAACATTGTGATGTTTTGCTCAAAGGATTCCCTGTCCACAGGATGTATACCTTGCAAGATTGGCTGTTACTCTGTAAGAGAATCAAAGTTCGCCCCTTGTTGCCGGTGTGTTCACGCAGGCTATGCTTGGACATGGGGGAGAAACTGCAGGCTCTCTACATCCGTGGAGCGGCTCCCTTCCCAGAGATAGAGAGCTTCGTGCAGGAATCAGGCCAGCGGTGAGTTTGCTCGTGCTCACTGAGCGCCAATTACGATGCACACTCAAATATGTCACCATTCATCGTCGTCATCGATATGATATGAGGAATCTTCGTTAAATAAATGTAGCTTTTTGCGTTCACAACGATCAGTGACGTATCGACGAACTCTGAATTGTTTCATTGAGTAGAAATTCTATGAATATTTGAAGATGTGTAGACATCCGAATATATGTTTTTATATGAATTTGTAGTGGGTACAGATGGAGACCGAGACTTATTCTTGGAGGCAACACGTTTATTCAATAACAGCCCCTTCACCAGGTAACCTCGGGAGGTATATCCTCCGGGCTAGCTACTCTAACACGCGGGTGGCTACCTCGGACCGGCCCCCAGCTCGGGTCCGGGTCTTGTAGTTGGAGCTCCTCTTCCAGGCGACGAGGTGGGGATCTTCATCCAGACAACAACAGCCGGTGCCTCTCAGGGCTCCGGCTTATATTCCCGGTCCCGGGCTCGCACCGCCACCCCGGGAAACGCCCACCTTCTCGAAGCCTCGAAAGGGACCTGTCCCTGGACACTTGGTTCCCCCAGCCCCCTCTTTGGGGGTCCTAGGGTCTGTATCTCCAGTCACGAGACCTCCGGGTTCAACCAGAGTGCCATGGCCCCTCTCAATCCTGTACTGTCGCTGGCACTCTTCCGCACCCTATCCTTCCGGGGCTGGCACTACCCGCAGAGTGCATTGCCATTCGTACAGCCACTCGCAGGGACGTCTGCGACGTCAACATTGCGCCACCCGCTTCACACAGTGTCGTCGTGCAGTGACATCCAGCAATGTCACTACATTACTCAGCCGTCCCGGCTGCCAACTCCCCCTCAGAACTGAATACCCCAGGGGAACAAGCTAACAAGCACGGGTGCCTAAAAAAAACCCAGCAACAGCAACCCCAACCATAAATACCCCAACCCACCTATACAGGACACACACTAATTACAAATGTACACAACAACCGGGAAAGGGGGGTGGAGGCATAACAACAACACCGCACGCGCGAACGTACACGTCCCCGTTCACCAACAACCAATGTTATCCACATCGTGTATCACCACCCGTCGGCACAATAAAGTTCAAGTGCAACCGACGACTGAGACGGCCTGCCAAGTGTGACACTGAATCGACGGTGTGGGGTGCGAGCGTGTATGTGGGGGGGGGGGGGGGGGGACATGAAAAGCGGAAAGTCTTAAATCGAGTTCTCGTGGCCGGCCCCCCGGAGGACTCGTGGAGGATTACGTTAACAGTTCCGCAGAGGCCGGCCCCACACGGGGAGCATCTGCCTGGGCGGGCGAGATCCCCACGTCCGGAGCCGGAGGAGCAGCAGACGAGGGCCACTGCAGAGGCATCAGTCGTGTGGCATCTGGGAATGCAATTACAGAACTCCGCTGAGGTTCCGCCTCAGCGGGCACGCACCCCGGCTCGTCGGACACATCGCACACTCGGCCCCTGCGTTGTGGAGATGGGATGAAAACGCGTGGAGCAGTGAAGGGTTTGAGGCGCGACGGGTGAGCGAACCAACACCGCCGGCCCCACCGAACCTTAACGCACTGCGGACGGACGACCCGAACGACGTCGGCAGGGACCCCTCCAGGGTTTGGCCAATTTAGGCGACGTGGCCAATGGCACCTGGGGGCAGTGGAGTCAGGCCCTTTCACCCGCAACCCATACGTGTCCAGACGCACGGAGGCCCCGCAGTCGCTCGTTAGCCAATTGGCACGAATTAGAATTTGCCCTTGCAGCCTCGCGTGCTTCCGACAGCTTCTGAATGTTGAAGCGCATGTAGTCCGAAATCTTAGATTTGGCTTTGCTTGGTGCGACACGCAGTTGTACCTCAATTGCGGGGTCGAGGTCCCTGCCGTACATTAAAAAGAACGTCGAATAGCCGGTGGACGCGTGAGGGGCCATCCGATATGCGGCCAGAACACCGGGAATCTGCAAGTCCCAATCAAGCTGGAACTCGCTGACTTGATGGCACAGCATAGAAGTCAGTGTTTTGTGCAGGCGCTCCACCATACCATCCGTCTGGAGGTGGTATGGTGACGTGCGAATTTTCTTTGTACCCAATTGGTCGCACACTTCCCGCAGTAATTTAGATGAAAAATTATTCCCTTGGTCGGTTAATAGACGCTCAGGAGCACCCTTGTCCAAGACATAGCCATGAAGAAAAGCGTCAGTGATGGCAGCCACCGACTGGTTGGGGAGTGGCCAGGCCATAGGCCAGCGCGAGAAATACTCCACCCCTCCTAGCAAGTATTTATTACCCTGAGGGGTGGCGGGAAAGGAACCAAGGATGTACAGAGCGACAAGTTCATTAATGCGGGATACCTGAATCGATTGTAACGGCGGACAGGAGGGTTTGACCGGTGGTTTCCGTCGCGCGCACTGCACGCAACCCTGCAGCAATTCAGCCACATCCTTTGCCATGCCCGGCCAGGAGAAGTCAAGCTGGAGCGTGGCAAGGGTTTTGTGTATCCCCAAGTGCAAAAGCCGTTCATGGACGGCCCATACAACCTTACCCCGCAAGGCGGTGGGCACAACAACTAGTTAACGACGCGGGCTGCCATCCCAGCACATCAAGAGGGCCATCCTTCGGGATGACAGATGCGAAGCCCCCATGGCCCTTATCCCCATCCGAGTGCACAACGCGGTGGCGCAACTTGAGAAAGGAAGCATCCTCCATCTGGAGGCGCCCCCACTCGGCGAGGTCAAGGCCAAGGACAGCATCCCATGCCACAGAACCGTGAGCCACCTCGGAGGAAGCCACCTCGGCTGACGCTGCGAGGGGCAGGGGCGAGCCGTCGACCGGCCGTTTACAGCGCCCTGAGCCCGAAAAGCATGCACACTTGCCGCTCGGTGGCAACCACGACAAGGCATCAGCGTTCGAGTGCTGGGTACCCTTGCGGTAAGCCACAGTGAACGAGTAGTCCTGGAGGACCTCGAGCCAACGCAGTAGCGTTGCTCAGCCGGAGACAGCACCCTGCTGACATACGCGACAACGCACTCCACCCCGTCGACAACCTGGGACAGAACCGCGCCAATGCCGGTGTTGCTCGCGTTCCGTGTCAAGGCTGAACAGCGCGGCAAAGTCGGGGTAGTGGAGGGGAGGGGCGTTAACCAGGGCCTCACGAAGCGCGACAAACGCCGCTTCTTCCTCCTCCCCCCAATGAAATTTCTGGTCCTTGGCCGTCAGCGCGTGGAGGGGCTTTGCGATGGAAGCAAACCCAGCCACAAAGCGGCGATAATAAGATGCGAACCCAATGAAGCTTCGCACCTCCCCCACCGACGTGGAGGTCGGCCATGTCCGGACGCACGCCGTTATTTTCCGAGTCCGTAGCAATCCCTGAATTGCTGACAACGTGCCCGAGATGACATTTTTGGGGCTTGAATTTGAGATTGGCCGCCCGCATCACGCGTTTAGAGTATTTGGCTCATTTACATTTCCACATGACGATAAGCCACTTCGTTGAGCTATCATTTGTGGCTTAGGTCCCTTCTGAAAAAGAACCATACAGCTCAGTGGCTCTTACCTGATAATAATAAGTTTATAGTTTTAGTTTAACCGATTTCATTAATCCCAGCTTCACATTGGAGGTACTATTGTCCAATCACGCTTTTCATTTGTTTCTCCTCACAGCTACGGGCTGCGCATGCACACGGTGGAGGGCGCGGTGCGTGATGCCCTGGCGGAACTGAAGCTCCGGGAGCCGGGCCTACGCGCGGTGCTCATGGGGACGAGGCGCACCGACCCATACTCGCACACCCTCACCCCCGAGTGCCGCACAGACCCGGGCTGGCCCGAGTATGTGCGAATCAACCCAATGCTGGTAAGGGGTCTCGAAAGACCTGCCTCCCACTCCGCCACCACCCTCCAACACCCCACCTCTCCCCACCGCCCCCCCCCACAAATTCACGGTGCTGAATGGCAACAAAGCTTGGAGCGTGTGTCACCTCGTGCCTCTCTTCCGTTGTACTGCCGAGCCGTGCCGGTGCCCTGCCAAGCCAACCCGCGGTGTGGCTTACGAGGGCACCAGGTTTTATTACCAAAGCCGTGCCGCTAATGTCACTCACATGCGGTGTGTGACAAAAACTATTAATCCCGCCGCTAACCCTGCTTGGCCCCGAGCCAGATTCAGATGTCTGGTGAGGCCAGATGAGCAAAGTTTGGTTCTGCCTCAACTCAGAAAATAACCACTGAAAAAGCACCCATACCACGAGGGTCCTAAAAATTGTTTTTTTACCCAAAACATCTGTGCTGTCAACTGCCTTCCTCTGTCCAAGTTCAGGTTCAAGACCTTCCCGCATTCCCTCTGTCTATGGCTGACTGCCTTTCTCGTCAAAATAAATATTCCCACGGGTTCTGCTGATCGTCTTGAGATGCGGTTGCATTAATATGCTATCTTGAGTCCGCATCGTTTTGTATTGCAATGTGCAACCTTTTTTTTATTTAAGAAGAGTGCACTGTAGGTGGCGCTGGGCTTACTGCATACTGCACTCAGCCTCGCGGCCCGAGGTTTATTCTCAGCATAGAGCGAATATCAATGGGCGAGTGATATCTTATCTGGTCTTGGGCCCCACCCCCATTCACCGTCCCGCACAGAACGGCATGGTGAAGTATAGTCAAACAACGCCGCGTGGGGAGGCCTTCGTCAATTAGTGGATGGACAAAGGGCTGTGACTTATGATTTTTTTGTTTTACTATTATGCAATAGGATATAGGAGCACAGGTTGTTTCCATGAATGTAAACATTCAGGTAAATATTTAAGGGAAGGTTTGAGCTCATAATCATTCGTTCTCTTTTCTGAACCTGTGGAATTTCCCGATACATCGCCTCTTTAATATTTACAGTGCATATTTTTCATTAGAAGGCATTTCATTGCGCGTGTGACAAGTGACAAATATTTTAACCCTAGATAATAATAATAAACATATATTCCCAAATGGATCCTTATGCTTTGCAACAAAATAATTACAATAATTTAACATATTTGAATGAAACAAAAGGGCGTTAACATTCGAAGCGCCTGTAGCGTTTATGGCAAAATTATCAAAGAACTCTTTTTACTTGACCTCCTGTATACGTCTCCCCGTATTCTTTGACCCCCATTTAATTTCTTATTGTAATTCCCATCGCAATTGCATGGCTTGTAACTGGAGGCCCCTAGAGACTGCTGGGGGGAGAAACGTGTGTGTCTGACATCCTTGGGTGGTGAGTGGGTTTTGAGAGCACGACTGTTAAAATGGCTCCGTTTCAAAGAGACGTTCCCAGCAAGCAACCTTAATACCGCGCATGCGAATAATGCTGTGTGCAGGTGCATTCGTAGCTGTCATCACTTTCTCCGGCTGTAAATTACATGCCTTTTGGTTCGCTCATTAAAAATACTAATCGTGCTACAAGCCGCGCTCATCCCCGGCATGTGATAATGTACACCGTTACAGCTAGATTGGGCGCGCACGAGCGTGGGAGGGGAGAGACGGCGAAGCGAAATGAAATCCGCTTTTACTCCGCCGGAGTGAAAATTGCGGCGCCCGTGTCGCTGTTGTGATTGCCGAGCGGCCTTAAAAAGTGTGTCCCTGTTCAAAACCCGTTTCAGGAGTGGAGTTACCACGACGTCTGGCGCTTCCTGCGTTCGTCGAATCTCCCTTACTGCATCCTGTACGACAACGGGTACGAGCGAAACGTCGCCCGCACGCGACGGGGTCCGCCTCGTGTCCGTTTCAGCACTCGAGATCCACGAAACACAAACAAATGTTTTCACGCGAGCGTGACTAATCCTCGTTTTACATTCCGGTTTGTGAAATGTTTACACTGTCCTCGAGCAAAAAATAATAATAATAATAATAACATCATTCCAGCTTGCCTGTCTTGTCTCCAAATACCTTGCTGGGTTTTTTTTTTCTTTCTTTCTTTCCGCGATGAAGCTACACGTCCCTGGGCAGCGCCGCCGACACGTGGAGGAACGACGCGCTGCGTTACACGGACGCACGCGGAGAGGAGCGCTACCGCCCCGCCTACTCGCTCGATGACCCCGAGGAGGAGCGCACGTCACGCAGCTGACACGACCCCTGACATGCAGGGGAGTGCCCAGCTTTGCTCCGTCCGTCCGTGCAGGGGCAGGGACCATTGTTTGCCAATCATGGTGCCACGGTGGGGTAGGGGGGGGGTAGGGGGGTGTCTTGATTTGAACCTGGTGAGTCGCAGCCTCCTAAGGTGTGGCCTTGAAACGTCTTGCTCGTGCCACTGCGGGCAGAAGGGCCTCTGTGGGTTGACTTGCTCTGTTCATCCAGCGGTCAAGAATGCCGGGTTTTGCCAACTGTCGGTGCGGCGTCGTCTGTGGACTCGGGGCTCGCGCCACCGTTTGGAAGCACGTAAATAATAAGAGTGCTCTTCGAGAGCGCCTTTAAGAGGGTACTTTGGCCTACAGTTTGTACGCAGAGAACTTACACTTTACCTCACCACACATCTGCCGATTAACAGCGGTGTACACAATTATACTGCCCCCCCCCCCCCCCTAATCAGAGGTCTTATAGTGTCAGGGTGCAGAGGGAGGTGGGTGGTTTGTGGCCAGGTGGTTCAGATGTCAAAGGCTTGAGAACGACACCTGTCAGAACGCTCGTTTGAGTGTGTGTGGTCACCACCTGTGATTAAACCGGTTTCTTAAGGTTAGTTGGCCGAGTTGATGGTCTCGGTCTAGTCACTAATGACTGCACAAAATTTTGGGGTCCACTTCGGCATTGAAGATATACGACTGACTGCCATGCAAATGAATAAATCTGTAGAGTTTTGAGCGTGGGGAATTGTGTACCCGCCATCGCATGTGGATAAGACGTTCTAGGATATCTCCTCTCCCAGACCATTGAGGCCATGTGAGAGTTCCCAATTGGACACTTTGCGCCCTGCTGCGGTGCATTACAACAAAATTGGGAACAGAAATTACAACAGATATTGCGGCTTGCAAGCAGGTTTTCCTGCTGCATGCAGAACACATGGCAACAGCACTGAACTGTAGACTCTGGGCTACAGATGCAACCACTGAGAACTAATCATAGTGGAGAGAGGTTCATAATGCAATGCTAATAATCTAAACTGTTTTTGTGAAGTGGTCTGTCAAGAAAACATGAAGGCTGTATGATAATGAGCAGCTAATTTTTTTACGAGACTGCATCCAAGGAGAAATTAGGAAATGTGGACTTAAAATTTGGTCTTTTAATAGCAACATAAAATAGATAAATGCTGATGGTGAACATCCTGCTTTTCTGAGGCCTAAAATTAAAGACTTAGATCTTGGTCACCGGTTCAGACAATGCGACTGAATGAGTTTTGAACAAGTGAATACTCATATTCTTGATTCTTTCGGTAAAGTCACGTAGAAGAGAAACAATAAAATAATGAAATATATATAAAACAATAAAATTCTCACGACGTTTCGACTGCAACACAAGTAATCATCATCAGGTGTGAAAACCACAGCAAGAAGGTTTAAAAAAAGTGGCGGTTATTTTTAACGTTAGCACCACGGAGAGCGATTTGGCAGGTTATTCAGATGGACGAGTCCATCTATGTTCGGAAAAGAGGAGGGGGGAGACGAAAATAATGGATGCGGTCTGAAAGCCACCGTTAGCGTGAACGATCAATTAAGACCCGAAATGGTTTATCAAAGCCGCCACTTTTTTCAAATTTTCTTGCTGTGGTTTTCACACCTGATGATGATTGCTTGTGTTGCAGTCGAAACGTCGTGATAATTTTATTTTTTTATATTATTATTCTTTTATTGTTTCCCTTCTACGTGACTTTACCGAAAGAACCAAGAATATGAATTCCTGCAGTCACGAAAGCTTTAAATCAAAATTTAAAGTGAATACTCCTTGATGTGAAATACTTTTTTTTATTTAACTTGAATTAATGTTTAATTAGAGTTTGTTTTTAAATGCACTTGTGTCCAGATGTATAGTATGCAATGATAAAAGTGTTTTAGAAGGAAAGGGCAGAGAGGTCTTATCTCCACTGCTAGACACCTAACACTCAATCATCCGCGTATCCTTAATTTAGTTTTTTGCTGTATTTGTTCTAGCTGCGGGGTGCTCCCTTGAAGATAGAGACGCTTGGTCTCAATGGGGATCTCGCCTGGCTTATAAATAAACGACTACTACTAATAGATCGTACGAGAGCTCTTGAGAGAGCAGGCTGTGGAATTTTGCGGTGTGGGCAACTCAATCAATGGGAAGGGGCACACTCGATCCGTTCATTCTCGTTAAGAACGGCGATGCAGATGTGAACCCCAACCGTCCAGGTGAGCAAGTGGGACACTGCCCTGCTCTGCTCGGAGTAACTCAGTCCTCTTGAAACCAGAGTTTTGTCGCCACGGCTGGGCTTCCGACGTGCCCAAGTTGAACTTGCTGTGTAGCAACACTGGTCCAAGAAGACGTACTGGAGAAGCATTGTCACCACCAAGGATGTCCAGTTTATCTCACTCTCAGTTATGCAGTAGATTTTGCAAATATTACAGTGCAACGATTGTAATTTAAGCATGACGAATGTGTAATAAATTGATGACGTTTAAATATATGTGTTGCATATGTGTGCATGGGGAGGGAATGGGTAAAAATGTTGTGCGCGTGCAGATGCAGGAAAATGAACTGCAGTTATTTTACCTTGCAATTGAAACAACTGTCCAGCAGATGTCAATGAACCACAAACAGGACTTAAGTATTGACATGAATGGAAACTAATACAGCATTCCCACATTACTAACCATTTAGTATAACTAACAAACTATTCGATTTCACCACGTGTGTACCTCACATTAACATATCTCACAATGCATTATAATCTTAACAACCATCGAGTATAATTACGACTTGTTTCATCAGAAGTATCAACTCCTTTATATTACCAAATGCAACAATTCATTTTCTTTGGTTCTTTCGGTAAAGTCACGTAGAATGAGAATAAAATAATAAAATAAAATAACAATACAATTCTCACGACGTTTCGGCCACAACACAAGTGGCCTTCATCAGGTGAAGGGACTGGACTGTCCAGAGGACAGCATTGGAGTGAAGACAGCAAGCCCAGGTCACGTCCTTTAAGCTGTGTGGGAGGAAACAACAAAACGCCTTGACAAAGGAATTAGCATAAAATGATGTACTGGACCGGCACGGTGGGGGTGAGGGGGGAAGGAGTTTACATAATGTTGGTGTGAAGGGAAATAAGTGGCTGTGAAAGTTTGGGATACCACTACTTGAAAAAATATACTGTACCATTTAAAATTAGTTTTAATGTTTGGTTTGATTTAGAACATATTTCCAATGAATGCTTAATTTGAAACCATCCTCTCGGTTGAAATTGTGTCTGTGTTTGTAAATCTGAATTGCCTCGTGGACAAATCTCTGATAAAAAAAAAAACCCGTGGGTTTGCAGAGAACCTTGGTATCGGAGAAAACTATATCGTGATTACCCACAGCGTTGTAACAGCTATTAACAGTAACTGGGTATGCACTACACTATATAATGAATACCATATAGTAAACCAATAAAAAACTAAAATATAAACTACCTCAATGTTATCAATAAACTCTATATATTCTCCAATCAGCTAAGCTACCAACAATAAGTCGTTATATATCACAATGCTATGTGGCGAAAAAATGGTTGGATTCTTACCCTCAACTTTAGCACCACGGATAGCTACGAGTCCCGTTCAGACGGACGAGTTCATCCATGGTCGGAATGGAGGAGGGGGAGAGAGACAGCTGCGAGGCACTGTTATACTCCATGTTGTAAACCATACCATTAACCGTGGTGTGAGAGGTATTAAGAGTCAATGCCAGCGAAAGAGCTGCGGTCTGAAGGTCATCGTAAAATACAATTAATTAAGAACCGAAATGGTTTAAAACATCTTTCCAATGGTTACTAAGCCAGAATCCATCTTCTCGATTGAAATTGTCTCTGTGATTGTATATGTGAATTGCCTCATGAACGAATCTCTCATGGTAGCCGGTTGGTTTGCAAAGAACCTCCGTCTTGGAGAAGTCAATGTCATGTGAGCCCACTGAATTATAACAGTGGTCTGCCACGGCAGAGGAGTTTGTTCTACCGTGTTTCAAGTCTGCTTTATGTTCGCGGATGCGGTCCGAGATATGTCGTTTGGTTTCTCCAATGTAGCTACTACCACAGAGGCACTTTAGTTTGTAAACGCCCGGGTACTGTATGTCTGGAACAGCATCTTTTACAGATGGAACCAGATCACGGATTTTATGTACTGTGTTGAATCGGACCTGGATCTTGTGTTTATTCAGGATTTTGGAGATATTTTTAGTGACCCCTGCAATGTAGGGTAAGGTGATGGTTTTGAGTGGCTCGACAAGAGGATCCTTCTTCATGACTGGAGTGATGGCTTTGCGGATTGTGTAGTCGGAGTAACCATTAGCCCTGAGAGCCTGGTGTACGTGCTTGAGTTCACTGGTAATGTGTTCCTGGTCGGAAAGGCATTGGGCTCTATGGTATAGAGTCTTGTTGAGGGAGTTCTTCTGGGATGGGTGGTGGTGGGAATCCGGTTTCAAGTAAGCATCTGTATGGGTAGCTTTCCTCTAGACAGTGGCTCATTGAACCATCATGTCTCCTTTTAATTAAAACATCCAAAAAGGGTAGTTTGCCATCTTTTTCGACCTCCATGATGGCTGGGTGTATGGAATTGATGTGGTCGCGGAATTGGTCTAGAGCAGGCTGGCCATGTGGCCAGATGACAAAAGTGTCATCCACGTACCTCTTCCATAAGGTCGGGCGTAGAGTGGCAGTCTGGATGGCGTCAGTTTCAAAGTTTTCCATGAATACGTTGGCTACAACCGGAGATAAGGGGGAGCCCATTGGGGTGGCCTCTGTAGAAATTTCCATTCCAGGTGAAGTATGTGTTGGTTAAGCAATGTCTCACCAGGGGGGGTACATCAGTATGCAGTCCTTGATGAACCAGGTCTTAAATGATAGTGATGGTGTCAGGTACCGGGACTTTGGTGAACAAAGACACCACATCAAAACTGACAAGCAGGTCGTCTGGGGACAGGGAAATGCCTTTGATTGTCGATACCAGGTGAGTAGAATTTAGTACCGCAGAGGTGGTTTTTCCAGTGAAAGGTCGCAGTATATCAGCCAGATTATAGGTGGGGGAGTTGATAGTAGAGACGATGGGACGAAGGGGTGTATCTTCTTTGTGTATCTTTGGAAGGCCATATAATCTTGGTGGTCTGGCAGCAGAAGGTTTCAACGAGAACTGTTTGGTCTGATCAATTAATGCTGTTGAATCAGAAATGATTTTGTTCGTTTTGGTAACCAGGGTGTTGGTGGGATCTCTTTTTATTTTTGTATAGCTGCCATCGTTGAGTAGTTCTTGAATTTTGTTGTTATATTCTGTTTTGTCCATGATGACAGTGGCATTGCCCTTGTCGGCTGAGAGGACGACAATATCACCTCTCTTTTTTGAGATAATTCAAAGCGTTCATCTTTGCTGATGTTGCTAGGTGGCAACTTAGCGTTTTTGAGGGTTGCAGCGATTTCATATCTTGCTACGTCTGCAGAGATGTGACTCAAGCCCTTGAGTGCAACGTCGACATGGGCAATGATCTCATTAACCGGTATGTGTCTCGGTGTGACAGCAAAGTTTAGACCTTTAGCTAAAACGGATTTCAAACCATCAGAAATGGAACTGTTACTGCGATTAATTACGACTTCGTTGACGTCTATCTGTTCGGTGTGTGCATCCGATTTTTTGTTGGAGAGGTGATTGAATTTGGAAATCAAATTGTCCCTACATTTGGTCGACATAGTGGCAGCCGAAGAGGTAGTCATATCGAAATTTAACAATTCATTGTAAGCTACAATTCTTGTGAATACATTTAACCGTTTAAGTATAACTGGCCGCCACTCCCCGCTTCCCTTTTGGAGGGGGGGGGGGCGTATTGATGACATCACACCGCCCATTCAAGTCCCAAGTACTGGAGGACATTTTCACAATTCTGACCAATGCCTGATTATGCTGGTTGCAACTATCGGTGAAACGTCGGACCAAATTGTTCAATGTTGCGAGATTTCTGTCCAACAACGCCGGTGATGCCGGAGAAGCAATAAATTGGCACGTGGAAACTCCATTGTCTGTGTCAGGTGGAGGAGGGTGTATGACACATTTTACTTGCACGATCTCACTGAAAAATACATTGCGTAGCACCACTTGCCTGATAAGCCAGAGGGCCTTTGTAGAATGCAATCTATTTGCCTTCGAGTAAATAGTTGATGTTGCTATTCTCAAGTCCCACTTCCCTCCTAGAAATGCCACGTTCATATCGCTCATTAATACAGATATTGTTTGAGCTGGATCGTCAAATACTTGAGATCTCCAAAACATTCACACGCGCAAGTATTGTTGGTTATTCCTGCGGAACTGACTACGAAATTTTGTAGCAAACTTTCAT